TTTCTGTCTTGGTTTTTAAAGTTGACTTTTTAAAAGCAACTTTCTTTTCTTTCTTTGCTAAGCGCTTTACTAGCTTTTCATCTATGCTAGCGTCTAACTAGTCTGTCAAATGATTAAAGTCTAAGATACTCTAGCTACTAGTATTGTTAATTTAGTCTTTAATCTTGTTATTGGCTTATTTCTAAAGCTTATCTGCCAGCTTGTTCTATAGGAGGTTTTTAAGAGACGTCTTTTTCAAAGCAAATTGGTTGCATAGGTTTGCCTTTCTCTAATTAGAAAGCTTTTAATAAAACTACTTGGTTAAGTCTTTATTATCTTAGGTTTTGCTAGCCTTTGTGATAAGATAGTTGTGCTTTGCAATTGCTGCTAACAATTTATAAGCGCTTGATTTAATCTTTTTCTAGTAAAAGTTAAGAAGCTTAGTCTAAAGATTAGAGTTTAACTTAAAGTCTTGACTGCCTTATTGCAACTTTATTGCCTTTACATTCTTTTTCTAAGTCTTGTGCTTTAAGACTATCTTTACAGTAGTATGTAGCTTTTTTTTCATATAGTGCTTAGTCTATTTCTTCTTTTGCTTGTCTATAAGCTAGCTTTGATTAGCATGTAAGCTAAAGATTTCTAGGAATTCTAAGACATTCTTGCTATTAAAGATTGTGATTTCCTCTTGCAAAGGTATTAAAAGCACTAACTTAACCTAATATTAGAAGCCTGCTATTAGGAAAGGTTTTGCTATAGAGAGAGATTCTGCTACAAGAGAAGGCATTGGCATTCTTAAAGGTATTAGGGTTTAATCTTGTAGCAAGCTAGGGGTAAGTTGACATGACAGAAAGAGAGTAAGCTGCCTTAAAGAATTGAAATCTTTAGTAAAGGCTTATGTAACTTGCAAAGTAGATAACTGCTTAGACTTCCTCTTTTTATGATTTGGTTTGATTTTCTCTGCCTGCAAGAAGCTTATTGTCTAATTCTTGCTTTTCTAGTCTCTGTAAAAGTAGCTTGCCTTTCCTAGATATCTAATTAGAGGCTTTAGGTTTTTTGCAATAGCTTATCTTTACAATTCTAAGTCCTTAACAAATACTAGGATGCTTTTTAGGCTTCCTATGCCAAGGAATATAAACCACAGCAATATTATCACTACCCTAGCCTAAATGCAAACTTCTGCGTTATCACTAATCATAGGTCTTTTCTTTACCACTTCTTAAACTAGAGAGTCTTTCTTTTCAGGTTTCTCTTTTAGGCAATTTTTTCCCATCTCAATATTCTAGCGCCTCTTTGCGCTTACATTAGCCTTTTTGGCAACCAACTAATCAGTTTGTACTAGCCAGTTTTCAAGCTTTAGGACAGATTGTCTAGTCTAAGCCTTACTAGCCTTTGGCTTTCCTAATTCTCTCATTGTAACTTTTAGCTTCAATCTTTATCCTTTCTTTCTTTCTAATCCTAGCACTTGTCTAATTATACTCTCTTTTCTTAATATGCCACTCTTTTAGCCAATAAGGTAACTTTAGGTTTATATTATCTTATCCTATAATCTTCTAGAAAAGGAAAGGGAAAGGGGAAAAAGGTTTTAATACTACTTTAGCGTAATTAAAAGTCTTTTTTGCTTAACGCTTGGTTGCCTTAGCAATGCAGAAAGCTAGTTGCTTTGCAAAATAAGGAAGCTACTGCTTCTAGAGCATCTTTGTATTTAGTTTGTGACAAAAGAAAAAAGTATACTAACTAGGAGCCTTTAGAGTCAAGCAAATGCCTTGGCTTTTCTTATAGTCGCGCGGTTTGATTAGACTGCAGCCTTTTAGTAAGCCTTGTGAATTAGATTCTAGATTGCCTCTTAAATATAAAGAGGAGAGATACAAAACTACCTACCTATCTACCTCTTAACATAGTATACTGCTTCTAAAGCATAGGCTTTAACAGCAGTAGCTATATAATTAGCTAGCAAGTAGATAGAATTATGCTTTTTTCTTACTTCTAGCGCATGTGACTAGTTAGGTAACTCTAATTAGCCTTAATATGTCTTGCGGTAGTGCCTAAATCTAGTTATGTAAGTAAGATAGGAAAATGCTAGTAGCATAATTAATTAAATTAAAGGCGTAAGGAAGGAATGAAATGCAGTAAATTAAGTATTATTGCATAGAAAGCCTTGAAATAACTAAGGTGTAAAAAGTGCCGCTTGTAAATCTATGTAAGTCTATGTAATTGATTATGATTTTACAATTTGAAGCCTTGATTACGCTTTTATATAAAAGCGCAGAAAATCTAGTCTGAAGCTGACTTATCCTAGCCTAAAGCAGCTTATGCCTTTTCTATTCACCACGTTAGTATACTGCTGCTAAGGCATAGGCTTTAATGGCAGTAGCTATGTGATTAGCTAGCAGGTAGATAGAATTGTGCTTTTTTCTTACCTCTAGCGCATGTGACTAGTTAGGTGACTTTGATTAGCCTTGATATGTCTTATGGTAGTGCCTAAATCTAGTTGTGTAAATAAGGTAGGAAAATGCTAGCGGCGTGATTAATTGAATTGAAGGCGTAAGGAAGGAATAGAATGCGGTAAATCAAGTATTATTGCGTAGAAAGCTTGGGAATAACTAAGGTGTAAAGAGTGTTGCTTGTAAATCTGTGTAAGTCTGCGTAATTGATGATGATTTTACAATTTGAGGCTTTAATTATGCTTTTATATGAAAGCGCAGAAAATCTAGTCTAAAGCTAACTTATCTTAGCCTAAAGCAGCCTGTGCCTTTTCCATTCACCACGTTACTAACCCTAACCCTTTGCTAACTACTTGTTGCAATTGTCTTGCAAAAATGAATATCTAACTTGGTTTTTGCTATAGTTGTCTTTTATCTGCCCTTACTTAATTGCTAGCACTAACCTAAAATCATTGCCTTTTACTATCAATAGCTTGCTTAATTTGGCTCTTACCTTCCTAACTATCTTATGCAATATATTTGCCAAATTGTTTATCTTAATCTTTATTTACTAGTATATAATCTAATTCTTAACCTAATTAACTATCTTTGCTACTAGCATTATAAACTAGACTTGCATCTTATACATATGCAAATTAAATATCTAATCTATTAGGCTTGGCTTAGACTTGTCTAACATAACTGTTATAAACTGCTTAACCTTTGGCTAGGTGATTTTGAATAACCTAGTTGCTGCCTTTTGCGCTTCTTTTGCACTTATTGTCTTCTCTAATGCTGCTACCTTGTCTTGCTGCTTAACTATTGACTAATATATAACTAACATCTGCATTACCTTAATAACTGCCAAATACTTTGGCATGTAATTCTTTAGCCTATACTAACTATTGTTATAGCGTAATTCTAACACTGCCAAACTGCTAATTAATGCACTCTTGTATAGCATGTCTTTGTATTAGTAGTTAAAAAACGCAACTGTTGCATCTAAATACAACTAGTCTGCCTAGTCTGCCTAGTCTTTACGCTTTTACTGCTTTACCTTATCTAACAGCATTATACTCTCTACTTGCATATGCTTTTCTACTGCCTTGCAAAACTTGTCAAACAAATTACCTTGCTTCTTAGTAAATATATATAGCAGCTAGTCTTTATTATCCTATTCCTATGTCTGCTATATGTAATATAACAACTTGCAGTATACTTTTTTGTAATCTGCCTACATATCTTTCTTTATCTGCCTATCAAATGGCTTTTTTTGCTTGACATGAATCTTCTTTTTGTTAATCTTAAACAACATTGCATGCCTGCACTGCTTTACTACTGCCTCTCTTGCCTACTCTATCACCTACTCTATGCTTTCCTATATTTGCTACAATACTACCTTGTCTTTGCCAATTAGCTTAACCATGCTGTGCAACTAGGCTAGGTCTAAACCTTTCAAATGCGTTAGCTAACTAATGCAGTCTAACTACCTATTTAGCTTAGCCTTTTTATTGCTTGCCTTAATTAACTACCTTTTTGACTTAAACTATGCTGTCTAGGTTGCATAGATTTGTATTAGCTACTCTTTTAATATTTCTGCACTTACCTTTGCTACTACTGCTAGCTTGCTACCTTAGCCAACCTTAAACTAACTGCTTCTAAAGCCTGACTAGAAAAATCGCTGACAATGCATGCCTATTATCTATAGCATAACCTGCTTTTGCTTTGCTTTTTTCACCACATTACTGCCTTTACTCTAATCATTTGCCTATCTGTAATCATTTTGGCAATGTCGCTGCATTTTTCTTACCTCTATGCTAACAAAGTTGCATTGGTTGCATCTTAAACTAACAACTAGTAGCTTAATAAATAGGATGGGTAGGATAGTAAGTGGCAGAAACTTGAACTTTTTTAACTTATCCTAGGTTTTTGTAATGTCTAAGATTTGGCTTATCAATTCTGCAATCCTTAACCGTTTGCTAGGCTTGATAGACTTATGCTTTGCTTGCAAATAACTAACAACCTTGCCTGCCACGCATCTAATTCCACACTTGCATATTAGAAACAGGTATTTAGGCAAACAAATAAATAGCTCTATAGTAATTTGAATGCATGTCTTGGCTAACTACTAAATGGTTATAACTATAGCCTTATACCACTGTTTGCCCCTATTCACCCTAGACAACAGGCCAATGCGTCGTTAGCCCCTATAACGCCATACTAGCTTAGGTGATGCTAATAAACAAAACCTACAGCTTTTCCCACCTACAAGCATTTTACTGACTTGAAAATAGCACCAAAGATTTTGCCTGCATTTGAGCTTTATGCGCATACCGATTTTGTCAATTTTACCGCTGAAAATGTCTACAAGCTCTGCCTTCTGTTTCTCTACAAGCTCTGCCCCCCGTCTTCACTAGCGCCATTTTAAATTACATGACGTTTTCTTCGAGCACAGCCTGTGCTCGTCGCCGTATTTGGGGGTAGGGCCTGCAGTCCGCGCTGCGCCACCTGCGGCAGCGCTGGCGCGATAGGGTGCTCTAGATCGACGCGCTGTGCATCAACCAGCTCGACACAAGCGAGAGGAACTTCCAGGTCAGCAACATGAGCCGCATCTATCATAACGCGGCGAACGTGTGCGTCTGGCTCGGGATGGACTCCCCCGGCAGCAAGATGGCGATGCAGTTCATTAAGGAGGAGTTGTGCGACATCGAGCGATTCGACAAGATCCACGAGAATACCGGCACCGCGGATAAGCTGATGGCGTTGCTGCAGCTCCTGGAACGGCAGTGGTTCTCGAGGCGCTGGATCATCCAGGAGATTGTGTTTGCGAGGAGGGCGACGCTCCATTGTGGTCGGGATGAGCTGCACTGGAGCCAGTTCGCGACGGCCATCGAGCTCCTGCTGGAGGCGGAGACGGCGTCGCAGAGGTTCTCATCCATGACGAAGGTTCGGTCCGATTTCTGGGACGGCTCCAGCCTATTTGAACACGTCAACCAGTCGGGCGCGGGTCTTCTGGTCCAGGGTATCCTGTTTCGGGACTACAAGACGCAGTCCGGCTCGCAGGGGCCGCTCTGGGGCATCGAGCACCTTGTGTCGTCCCTGACGGTAGTGTTCGACGCATCTGAGCCCCGCGACTGCATATACGCCTTGCTCGGCGTGGCCAACGATGTCATGGCCACGCCGGACGTCAAAGACGAACCACGGCTGCTCCGGCCGTGGCTCCTCCCGGCGATGCAGCCCAAAACGGCAAGGTACCCCGTCGACTACGCCAAACCCTACCCGGAAATCTGCATGGACTTCATCGAATTCTGTATCGGGCAGTCCGGTAACCCGCATCGGGCTCTCGACATCATATGCCGACCGTGGGCCCTAGAGCCTCTCCGGAAGAACCTCTCCACGGGGGAGATTGACGTGGCGTCCGAGTTTCTTCCCTCTTGGGTTATTAAGGCCTCCGAGACGTCATTCAAGATCATGACACACACCCTCGCGAGGAAAAAGGTGACGCGGCAGAACGCCGACTCCTTGGTTGCCCCTCCGGATGCGGCCAGGACACAGTACGCCGCGTCTTCCAATGAAAACTTTGACCGGTCCAAGCTTGCATTCAAGCGGAGGCCCAATCTGAGACATTACAGCATATTCGTCCAGGGGTTTATCTTTGACCGCGTCGAGAGGGTAGAGGCCTCGTCACAGGACGGCTGCATCCCTAGAGAGTGGGCCGACTTGGCGGGCTGGACCGACCTCGAGACGCCGCCGCCCGAGGCCTTTGGAGGACGCTGGTCGTCAACCGCGGGCGAGATGGGCGAACCCCGCCTATATACTACGGGGAGGCGTGCTGGAGGTCTACCATCCAGGGAGGGATCCAGACCGGAGCCGTGAATACATCGATGCTGATCAGCAACGACCAGAACTCCATCATCTCGCAGTTCTGCAAGCGGGTACAGGCCTCGATACTAAATCGCAGGCTCATCAAAACGGAGAGGGGTCGGCTGGGGCTAGCGAGCAAGAACGTTGCCACCGGCGATCTGCTGTGCATCTTTCCCGGGTGCAGCGTCCCTGTTGCCCTTCGTCGCTTTTCCAAGAAGTTCGGCGACGATGAGGCGGAGGAGAAAGAGGACTCGCTCCAGCGGAGCTTAGGTGTCTTCAAGCGTGCGCTGCTCAACCGGCTGCGGGCCAGGCAAATGAAGGAGCAGTGGGCAAAGCAGTCAGAGGACTACAAGCGCTTTATTCGCACCCTCGATATTCCGGGTTGGAACAAAACGGACGAAGGGCGGGTGATGAAGAGGAAGCCTGATAAGCAGCCTGCAGAACGGCCCCATAGTGCGAGCGAGAAAGCCGAAAACGCCGAGGACAGGAGGCACGCCGGCCAAGAGCAAAACGAGCCAGAGGCAGGCAAAGCCCCTGCTCCAACACTGGGCCCGTACTATAATTTCCTCGGCGAGTGTTATGTCCACGGCATGATGGATGGCCAAGCGACCGAGGAGAGACGGAAAAGGTCAATTCCGTACGAAGTTTTTGAGATACGGTGATTGTAGGACACTCCAAATGTCCCGTTGATGTGAAATCTAGACGCTGGCTCGTTTTATATATGAACCAGAGCTCGACAGAGCAGCGCTGGAGAAATATCGAGACATTTAGTTGGGGCTCTTAGGAAGCCAATGTCTAATTCTTTTTTCTTTCTTGTCTTTTTAGCGTTATTCATGCTTGCAAAACCGATCAAAGCGTTCTAGTATAATGTATGACCGCATGCATGGTCGCAGCCTATCAGAATGGGGTCGATGTAGGCTTGGATGAAGACAGCGATGACTGCAGTTGATATTGTCTAACTGGGGAAATCTGTCGTTACATCCTTTAAACTCTGGGCACTAGGTGGTAGTTTCCATTGGATCAACTTTGACACCGTTGTACGAGGTGCCTTTATGCGGGTTAGCATGTATCGGCTATAGGCTTACAAGATGATGGTAGACCACGAGCCGACAATAATCTTCATGACCACTAGGGCGACGGATATCAGAGTTGTTATGTCGCTCACTCGAAGAAGCAGCTTGCCGTCGACATAATGCGGACTTGATTTATCTCTAGCCTCGTATCTGTTTAGGCTAAGCGACATGGCTAACGCTAGTGCGAGGCAACACGCTGCATGAACGAACAGGATAACCCACGCCTTTGTGGCTGCCGGCACTCTTCTCTTGCGCTTTGGACAGCTATTGGCCTGGTCCGAGACGACCTTTGTCTCTACTGTCGGTAGTACTTGCTTGGATACATTATAGGTGGCATTTTTGGAGGTTATATTCTTGAAACAAAAGAGGGCGATTGATGTCGTCCTAGTCTTAGGTGCAGCTGTGTTTGCAGAATTGAAGCTTGGGCTACATCCTACCTGAGTGAGGGGGTGCGGCGAGTCGCAAAGTATATACGGACGCCTGGACTGCAACGTCTACCGCCGCCAACTAATCACGACGATGTCTTTAATACCTTGGGATTAGGCTCCACGAGTACCTTTCATTTACATGGCTGTCAAGCAGAGTGACTTACCCTGGTAACCTCCTATTCCTGAGGACTCGCGGTTAGCTTGAAATACAGCGGGCGGCTTTGGGTGTGGCTTGCATGTATTGAGCTGATTCCTGCCAAATTGGTTGCCCCCTCTGAATTAGATGCATATGCGCATGGAAATATTAACCACCTATTAGCTGGCGAAAAGCACAGCTTATGCAGGCGAGCACTATGACGCTACGTATATCTTTGAGAGCTCATACTACATTCTGATATTGAGCTACCTGCTGCAGTGGTGTTTGCTTTATTGGTCACCAAGCTTGTCGAGAAGTCATCTGTATCTTTTCGTGTCAAGTGGATCATCTCTAGTCGTGATTGGCCGCAAATCAAGGACTGGTTGGGAACAGCTAAGCCTCGAGCTAAACGCCGAATCTGTCAACGCATAATTATATCTGACATAAGTTGCATCAACTGACATGGCTAAAGAATTACGATGCTAGTAGAAGAGATACTGTTCAAGACTACTTGTCCTCCTATGCGAATGACATGTTCCTCTGGATGGCGTTGGTCTGCCAAGACCTTGCAGACCCGAACGTTTGGAACCGGCATATTCTAGCAAAGTTAGGCGGGTGATGGGGTTTCTGCGCGGGCTGGATTGCTTATATGCGCGGATGATGGAACAAATTGGATACTCTGAGGATGCAGATCTCTGCAAGCACATCTTACTGTTGCCACGGTTGTTTGTTGGCCTATCGGCCTTCATGAACTAGCCACTCTTGTCGAGATGCTGCATGGCATTTCTGACAATTTAGAGCCTTTGGGTTAGATTATAGGGCTTTGCGACTCATTTCTGACACTTCAAGAACAAACAGTCTATTTTGTGTATCAATCAACAAAGTACTTTTTATTACTCGGCAAAAATTTCGACAAAGCTTCTCAAGAGGCTTTCAACTGTGTCTTCCCTTCTAGCTAAAGTACCGTACTCCTTCCTCTACTAGGTTGACTATTTTTGTGGGTTGATTTCATGATAGCTAGCGACTTGCCTGGAGATCGCACGACGGGACTGTCAAGATCTGGGATCTAGCCTCGGGCAGCTGCTTGGAGACCGTCAATGTCGGCACCTCGCTAACTCATATCTCGTTTACCGAAACTGGACGTATTGAAATAGCTACAGGCACTGCTGGAAGCCTGATTGAACAGCATAATCCAAAGAGGGATGGCTATGGCTTAAGCCGAGGTCTGTCCTGGATTATACATCTACGCCAAATAAAGATAGGACAGGGCGAAGAAACCAGGGCTCCACCTTTCGTCGAGGCGACATATTTTGCCCAGGACCAGTTGCGAGCAGATTTATCACGAACGAGAGAATCGTGGTTGAGTAAGCACCATACAAATAGATAACTATCGACCAAATGTTTGTTCACTTATAGCTACGAGCACAGTTGAGTAAGCCACGCAGATTGTGAAATTTTGATTTAAGCTTACAGTGTTACAATTTGGGCGTTAAGGTTGGTTGGATTTAAAGGTTAGACGCTACATCCGCACTTGTCTAAGCCAACCTGAGCCAACCTGAGCTTGGCTGAGCGAAACTGGGAGACAATGGGTGCGTAGCAATAAGCACAAGGAAAACACCTCCCATGTCCGTTATCCCGACTTATTGGACCTTGGCGACACCTGGAAGTTCGGTAAGCCCTAGAGGATATGTCAGCGATAATCTAATGACGACATTGAAGAAACCAACGTACAAGTATCTGGGCTAACATCCTCCCTGGCTTGCTGTGTCTTGGTGCAACCAATGGCAATGTCGCTAGCTTGCAACTTGAGAGCAGGGCAGGTTTCGCTGAAGCAATTGGTTCCCAGAGCATCCATAGCGCGCTGCAAAGCGCCGTCCTTCCAGCCAAAGAGGTAGTCGCCGTGGGCACCATATCCAGTGCTGTAACCCAATGTTAGCAGTGAAACTCTACAGGTGAGGAAGAAGAACTGACGGATCGCCGAAACTATATACGAGAGGCTGCTTTCCGTTCTTGTAGTACGCCGGATCCGCGAACCCCGACGTATCGTACATAATCTCATACATGACCTGGGGGATCCGGATGGGATGCGTAGTTGGGCATTGGTCGCCCGCGAGTGCTGAGCCTGGTTGATAAGCTACATGGCTCCGGTGATCGGGGCTGTCGCCGTTCTTTCCATCCCAGCATGAGGGGAAGATAACGGTGGCGCGAATTCCACCTGGGCATGGCTTGTTGGGGAAGTTGGCCGAGTCGCTAGCGGAACAAGGGGCACCACTGCCGCCTGACATCCGTTCGTTTTTGGCAAGGCAACGATGGCAGATAGCCATAGAGCCGCTCGGTTTGCTGCGGAGCGTCGGGTCTCCAGCGAGCATTCGGAAGCCCTTCAGGATTGTCAGCTGAAGCGAGGAGCGCATGTCCCAATTTACACTTACGCGAGGCATCACCGTCACCTTCTTGTTGCTGCCACTGAACGGTTGCATGTAATATACAGTGATCCCCCCATCCTGCTCCAGCAAAGTGCCGTTCAAGCGGCCATTCGCCATCTGTGGGACCCGCCTGAACGTGCCGTTCTCGGGGGATTGGAAGTAGATGGAGGCAGTCCAATAGTTGCTGAAGTCCTCGGACATTTTGCAAGAGGTGCACTGCGAGTGTTCGGCCGGATCGAGGTCGGCAGGGTCCATCTAGGGATATTACAGTTAGCAACCGTATCAGCCCGGATCGGCGAGCAGGTAGGTATCAAACCGTAGCATTGAAAGAGCTTCCTCCAACGACTTGATGCATATGTGACGACGGGATTACCCCGGGGTCGACGAGGGGGTCGGTACGCTCGATGACGAGCTGAGAGCAGCCAAAACGAAGAAAATCTGCTCCCCTGGCAGATCCTGTTTGAGCAGATACATGTTGTGCAAGCAGCGCACCGAGCGCGAGTGCCAGCCAAGCCATAGTTGGTGGAGGTTGAATTTGGACGAATAATTACAGTAAGACACGGACGACGTTGACTCTTCGATTATTCGATTCCGTCACAGAAGATCCAAGTCGTTTATACCAATTCTCCCCTGTGCCCGACCGGTTTTGCCTCATAACTACCGGCTAGATTAAGTCGCACAAAATTTAATTTCAGCTATAGTAATTCATTAACGAGCGCGACAAGAGTAACTGAGCCAATGAGCATGTTGAAAAATAATGAACCCCGCGAGTCGCCAATTAGACTTCTATAACCTGGTAGGATTTCCCCATCGGCACTTGCAAATGCCTCCTGCCTTGGGTACTGGGATGATTATTTGTCTGCGCCTGGACCGCCATTTACTTAACCATATTAGGCAAGAAACCAAGTAAGAGGACCATGCAAGCGGCTTTGACAATAACCGCGTAGAGCAGCTGCTCTGCTGATCAGTTTATCCCAACCTTGATTACCCAAACTACCGTCCAAAGCTTGGTCCAGTTTGTGAGAAGCTAAGAAAACAGAGAATCAGAGATCAGCGGTGGTACCCACACACTAATTCTTCTCACCAGGGGCTACTTAGTTCAAACAGCTTCTTCATCCCCCCCCCCGGCACCTTACGTCCTTCTTCGGAACTACTGCCGGGAAAAAGCCAAGGCCAAGTGTGTGCAGATAAGCTATCTGGAGACGTGGGCTGGCCGCCTTGCAAGCGCCCTGAACCATCTACACGCAAAAGATGTTCTTCACCGCGACACCAAGTCTTTGGGAAACCTGGTTCGGTCTGGTGAAGTGTTCTTCGCCGAGTTTGCCATCTAGAACCACTACCGAGGACACAAGCGTGCCTGGTCGACCTCGCCGTGCCCAGCCGCCTATCGTCGCCTCTTCTCCAACGACTGGCTAACTGCTGCCAAGGGCCTTCTCCGGTGGATCCCATGGTCAAGCAGCACGCTCCCAACCCTAGATAGCTGCCAGTACCTCCAGCTTCTATGTCGCATGCCACCCAACAGCAATGGCTCCTGGACTTGTTTGGGAAGAGGTACTCTGTGATCTATGACGTGTGGTGTGCGCAGGCGGGATTGTGTGCCGTTGAAACAGGGCGAAGTCTTGTACTTAGCCCAGTATGGGCAAAACAACAAGACAGACAAAGAAGATCAGCGGCCCTGTAAAGAATTGAGGGCGGTTTCCGACTGCACGTTCGAAAAGTACGCGGTTGCATGCCTCTAGGTTTCTGACCCTGAAAGCCGTTCCGGCGTTCATACTCTTCCCTTCCACGTGACCTCGCACGTGCCATTACTTTTTACCCCTTTTCAGTGTGCGAACCACTTGCGGCGGCAGGTCTTGCAATTTCCAGTGTCAGAAATGATCAGATAGACATGGTGGTGGAGCGAATGGGAGAGACTTGCCGTTGGCAGGATAAGGGTTGCGGAGGAGCTTGTTGACCAGAAGGCGAGGGACCTCGATTGCGCGTGCGTGAGAGGGTCAGCTGCTGCTGGTTGCTGTGTGATCAGAAACGTTCCGCTAAGTGAGGGGAGAGCAGTGACGATGAGTTATAGGTTAGATTCCATGTAATTACCACGTTGATCTATCTGCTTAAGAGATACTATTAATTAACATGTTCCTAGGCGTCTTCGAACATATCATTCTCGCTATCGCCATCACTGCCAGTGTCCTTGCCGATCTGATCCAGAAACTCTTGAAATATCCTCCTTCGCTCCTCACTAGCCGGTTCATCGCCTTTCCGACTCACGTGGTTGAAACTCGCTCCATGCTTTACCAGTTCGTCCAACACTCCAAGAGTCTGCCAATGAATCGACATATGGATCAAGCGTCGTTCGGGTTATCTGCAAGTTTGGCATTCCCATCCCAAAAGGAGGCGATGCCACACATCCAGCCTCGAAATATTCGTTCTTGGATTAGCCGACTGTATCCTTTCAAAGACTGAGGGAGCTTGAAAGTCGAGGAATTACTACGTTGACTAGACCCAAACCGTCCCATTCACAGACTACCAATTGGGGCCATTTCAGGCAATTGATTATCCGGCGGCACGGTTGGAGGAACCAAACTTTCTGTCTTGGAAGGAAGGAGGAACAGCAATGAAGGGGTGAGCAATGCGACGGCACGAGGTCGCAGCTAGAAAGAAAAGCAAGATTTGACTCGAGACAGCCCGGATGGTCACCATCGACTCGGGCATAGAAGCGAGATCGTCGGTGTCCCACCTTCAACGGGAGGTGTACCTTGGTCAGCACAGCTCCTGCTGCTCTTGCTGCCCTGCTTCTGAAATACCCTGCGGCCTCGCCGGTTGAAGCCGCCTCAGAAGTGTTGAGTCCGAAGCCGTCTCAGGAGGGCTTCCTCGCTTTAGTTAATCGTGAACTAACTTCGGGGTCTCCGTTGGCTTCTGCTGCCCTCTGTCTCCGTTGCTCCGCGGTGAATCGGTTCTTTCAGGGTGGCTACGCCCCTTAGAATCTCCCTTTGCCCGCGCCGCGCGCCTGCAGCGACTAACTCATATGACAAAGCTCCTATGTAGCATTTGTGAAACATAGCTCGCATAGGTAAGAACCAACGCGCATGAGCGTAACCTTACAGATATTGCTGCCTAATAAAAATCGTGACATCATAATGTCTTCTTAACCTGAGGCACAGTTCTGGTATTGACCCCGCCTTCTATAGAGATTTGACAACCAACACGACAACTTCCTCGATTTAACCCCGGTTGCAATCCACATTTGGAACTGCGCCTTTTGAGAAGACGACAACGAGGGAGAGCTTGGGCAGAAACGAAAGGTGAAAAAGAGATATAAAATATCCAGTTGATTTCGGTCCTCCAGACTCTCCACCGCGCCAACATGACAAGCAGAAATCTCAACCAGACCTGGCGCGACGTTGTCTTTAAACAGTACAAAGAAGACCACGCGGCTGACGTCCCCTTCCCCGTCCGCTACTTGATCTACGCCCCAGAGTGGAAGAAAGACATCTTCATCGAGATTCCCGCCAAGATCGACGTGCCTGTCTTCCGTCAAGCCGTCCTTCACTTTTCCAGCACAAGACGCCTTGCAGACGACCCGGCATACGAAGACGACCTCATCAAAGTCCGAGCACGCGTTTCACGTTCCGGTCCATTTTCTTCTGCTCAACGCAATGATGATGCCCCCCCGCAAGACGACACTAACCAGCCTGAGCCTGGTGCTGCTGGCAACAGCGGCTAAGGCTTAGGATTTTACCATCTACGGTGACAGCGACTGCGAGAAGACGCCGACGGCCCATTTTCGGAAAGTGGTAATAGGGTATTTACCCCTTTCCCAACGTCGCTTCCGCGAGCATGATGGCTGACGCCTCCTCGCTCACCTAGACTGTACCCATGTTCCTGATCCCCATGGAAGGTTCGAGCTCGAAAGCATGGGCAACTGCCAAATAGATCTGTATGCTACCTTGGCGGATTATCAGAATAGCATTTCGCAGAAACGAACCGTCATCTCCCACCTACCACCTTCTGGAAATGGAGTCCCCATTATCGGCAAAAGAACTCGGCTATTTCAGTCATGCTTGGATGTGGACACTGATTCCTAAGATCCCTTGGCTCTACGTTATTTCAGGCGTTGCAGCATTTATGTGGGCCAGCCAACTTATAGAAGATGCCTTTTTACTGTACTGCATGGGGTGCGAGGCTATGCAGTCGAAGACATCCAAACAGACGCTGGTTTCCGGAGGAGTCGCAGCAGTATCGGCGGTGCTCCAGTGAGTTCGATGATATCAGCTCCTCTCCAATCTGAAGTGGATCTAATCTGCCCTGGCAGTTCCATTTCCGACGTGGCACGATTCTTTTTCGTTCTAGCGATTACCCATTCCTCCAACCCATGGCTCGGACGTCTGGTTCTGCTTAATGTGATATTATTTCTGCCAGCTCGGATAGTCACACTCAGCGGGGGCATTCTTACAGCCCTACGCATGAGAAAGCACGAGAAACTCGAGCTGACAGACGCGGATCGCCATCGTGAGCCAAGCCTATCCACAACCCCGAAGTCGCCTATGACATTGGTTATCATACCTTGCTACCGCGAACCACTATCGATGGTCATGGCTTCGATTGATTCGGTTGCAACCTCGGCTTACAACAGGGATCGCATCCATATTTTCTTATCTTTCGACGGGCCCCAGAACAATGCTGTCTTCAAACAGATTTCAAGAATAGCCAAAGCCAAGACAGCTCCCTCTCGCGAGTCTTTATGTGCAGAGGGAGTCATTGGGGATGTTAACCTCACCCTGTGCGTTTTTGAGCACGGTGGGAAAACTCAGTGTCAGGGGCAGACAGTCGACTGCATCAAGCGCTACCATGGTAACTACATGGAAACAGCTTCAGATACTTGCGTACTCTTTTTAGACTCGGACACCACGATCCAGCCGTCAGCCCTTCGCCTGCTTGGAGCTCAACTAGTACGTTCGCTTCTAACTGACTGACCAGTTCTCACGCTAATCCTCCTGCAGCATCCACTGTCCGGAGCCCCAGGCAGCCTCATCGCCTTGACGACCATTCAAGCAATCACAGGGCCATCGTCGTCGTTCAGTGCCGCAACTTGGCATCGCGGGTGTATGGAGACCTCGAGAGACCATGGTCAGGGTTATCGCGTAATTCTTTGCGCTCGTTAATATGGAGGAACTTCTTGTCGTTGTGGCCGTACGGGTATGCAAGATAAACGCCTGCGTGTCCGGTATCGCTCCTCTTTTTCACGTCCATGTCCAAGCGCGGTGGCTTATTATCCAGATTATGGTGGAGCAGACCCGGCCGAAGACGCATGCTTGGGGGGAAATGGGGCTAAGCGATTCTCCAATTTGGAGAAAATCTGTGGAGGGGATGGTGTTTAGGTATGGGCATATCTGGGGTATGGAGGCGTACAGCTGACCCCAGATGGACCCGAAAACGACATATGGGGTAAGGAAGATTGGACTCTGGCAGTCTGATAGTATTTGAAGGGGATGGCTCGATCGAACATGGCAGAACAAGACTTTCAAAAGCCTTCACGACCATCCATCTTCGCTGCAGACAGACAACATCTAATTATTCGATCATGGATTCCTCAGTTACTCATTTCGATCCAAACATTCTCGGACATTTGGATGGCCATGCGGCCTACTCCTTCCTTCTGATTGCCGTTCTCCTCGTCTTCGCCGTCAAGTGGTCCAACAAGACAGACATACCCAAAATTGAAGGTCTTCCAGAACTTCCCGGCGTCCCTCTGTTTGGGAGTCTCTTGCTCCTAGGCAGACACCACGCAAGGAACTGTGCACGACTGTCGAAAAAATATGGGGACGTATTCCAGGCGCGCCTGGGTAACAGGGTACGTTGCAAAAACTTGACATCCAGACCATCGTTTGACCACTCCACTTCTAACAGTCAGCGTCAAGAGATTCATCTATGCCAACTCGTTCGAGTCAGTCAAGGAGCTGTGGATCCAGAACCAGTCGGCGCTCATCTCACGGCCCAAATTCTGGACATTCCATGACGTCGTGTCCGAGACCCAAGGCGTCTACACCCTCGGCACATCCCCATGGAACGAGTCGGTCAAGCGAGCGAGAAAGGCAGCAGCCACGGCTCTCAACCGCCAGGCAGTGCAGACGTACCTCCCATTTATCGATTTGGAATCTACCGCCAGTATCAACGAGCTGCTGCAAAACCTCCGGCATGAAGCCAACATCGATCCCAACGGGTACTTCCAGCGGTTTTCGCTCAATATTAGTCTTACCCTGAACTATGGCATCCGGCTGGACGGCACGGTTCGCGATCATACCCTGAACGAGGTTGTGACTGTGGAGCGACAATTGGGAAACATCCGCGGCATTGCCAACAACTGGCAGGACTACGTGCCGCTGATGCGACTGTGGCCCGGGTTCAAGAAAAACGCCATCAAGGTCCGTGGCCGCCGAGACGAGTATATTCTCTCATTCTTGCATCAGCTTAAGGAACGCATCGCCAACGGCACCGACAACCCCTGCATTGCTGGTAACGTCTTGAAAGATCCGGATGCGAAGCTTAGCGACAGTAAGTCAATGGTTTTCAAGGGGAAGGAAATGAAGAGATTGAAAGAAGGAAAACCAGAAACAGGAGCATGCAAGCTGATTCTCTTCATAGACGAGCTCAAATCAATTTGCCTAACCATGGTCGCGGCGGGACTGGATACGCTGCCTGGCAACATCAACATGACGATCGCATATCTCTCTTCGGACCACGGCCAGGAGATCCAGGCCCGCCTCTATGAGGAGGTTATCAAGTCCTACCCCAATGAGGACCCCTGGCACGCCTGCTTGGTCGAGGAGAAGTCTGAGTACATGAAGTCATTCATCAAGGAAGTTCTACGCTTCTGGTCAACCCTGAACTTGTCTTTCAACCGTGAGAGCGTCAAGCCTGTTCAGTACAAGGGTGCCACTATCCCTCCTGGGACTCCCTTCTTGATGGTGGGTGATCATTTGATAATTACAAGGAAAACAGAGAATGAAGCTGACAAGCATCAGAACATGTGGGCCGCCAACCACGACGCTACACACTTCAAGAGTCCCATGGAATTTGTCCCGGACCGCTTCATGGGGATCGACGAGGTCGGTAGTGGCACGCAGCACTACGGTTACGGAGCCGGCGCGCGCATGTGCGCCGGCGCCCATCTCGCGAACCGTGAGCTATATGCCATATTCACCCGGCTGGTTCTTGCATTCCACATCCGCGAGACCACCGACGTGAAGAGTCGACCGATTCTGGATACCATCGAATGCAACTCGGTACCCACAAGCATGGTGACCCAGCCAAAGCCGTTCAAGGTGCAGTTCGTGCCCCGGGACGAGAAGAAGCTGGAGGAGTGGATCAGCAGCAGCCTTGAGAAGACGAGATACTTGTGAAAGACGACTTGGGGGTGGAAAGATGAGGAGGTATGATTGTGTCTGCATTGGTCAGCCCATATCAACTTTGAAGCTTGGATGAAGAGGCAGAATGTGGACAAACCACAGTGAAATTGAGAAACAGAGCTGTCAAGATTGGAATATATATATGAACTCTCCTTCGGTCAATCTTGATAATCTCTTAGGGTTATTGATGGTTCATTTGAACTTTCACATAGATCTTTCAGGGGTTTGATCTCGCGCTTTCATTTTCCATGGTCGTTGGACTCCTCCACGTGGAACAAGACCAGTATGACTCGACCAAGTCTAGCCGGGGTAGGGTTCGGGCCGCGCCGGATTACATGTGCACTTTCTATACTACCGGAGGTCTTACGTACGAAGTAGGTGAGCAATTCATTAGCCGAAGCAAGCCTCCACCCAACCCTCATCCAACCGGGACAAAGCCGGCCGCTCCTACATATGCATAGTTTATGCTGGTTGAGGAAGTCCTCCAATCTGTACTCCCTGTTTATTGGTCGAGATCGAATCCTCTGTGCGACAGCCAATCAGCCGTTACAACGTCGTGCAGTTCCTCAGGTGAGAGTTGCTGGCGCATAGACCTAACCTGGCCAAGGGTGCTCCGCGTTCTTACTTTGTATATAATGTTTTTCTGGAATTGTCTTGGGGTGAGGGTGTATTCATAGAGATAAGAGCGATCGCGATCCCTGCCTTGCTTTTCTCCCCTCTTGTCTGTTCTCACGTTGTGTCTTTATCCCCCTCCCAATTATCTTGCGCCATTCCAACCCCTGTGTGCCTTTTGTAGCCCAGCCAGCTGCTCTGTTGCCTTGTCCACCAAGATGTCGTTGCCGAAGGCTCGGCCGGAGCCACCACAAACTGCCGCTTCTCCCGCTTCGCCCACTGCGCCCGCGGCGAGCGCGGCCGGGGGCGAAGGAGAATTACAGCCGCCGCAGCATTGGACCGCGCAGCCACTGCCAGAGGTGGGTGGCATATTCCTGCGTTGCAGTTTCAAGTCTGCTGACCATCAATGCCACAGGACGACGACGCCGACTCGACACTGGGCGACGATGCTGCCAGCTCGACGGCATCCATTTCGTCCAGCATCCTGCAGTACCGGACAATCAACGGGCGGACCTACCACAGCGATAAAGGAAACAGCCAGTACTGGTAAGTGCTGCGTGCAAGGAGTAGGGATTGGTTATTTGTTGCATGGAACCGACAGCTTATTAGCCGTGCAAAAGGGCCCCAAACGACGACGCGCAGAACGAGACATTGGACATCCAGTAAGACCGGACACCGTTGCTGTAGTTATGCCCTCACGCAATGGTAACATGGGCTGAGACACCATGTCTTTACGCTTGCCCGGGAAGGCAAGCTCTACTCCGCCCCCCTACCGGATAAAATAGAGGTGGGTCAGATCCGTGGAAGTGCATGGCGAATAAGTGGCTGACGGCCGATGATCTAGAAAGTGGTCGATATTGGAACCGGAACGGGAATCTGGGCCATGTATGCTTTCCCATTTTGCACGCTTCCAGCCCCTGCGTTCCCTACAGATGAGAAACATGGGCTAAACCACAGGACACTGCCATATGTAGTGACTTTGGCAACGCTCACCCTAACGCCCAAGTCACCGGCACTGACCTGTCGCCTGTCCAGCCAAGCTGGGTCCCACCCAATGTACACTTGTAAGCAATTGGCTGGCAGCTACCTTATCTGCCGGCATGTGTGCTTCTGTATCCTGCTCAGGAAAACTGATTCTCCCATTCCATCTCTTTAGCCAGATCGACGACTTCTCTCAAGAGTGGACATTTGCAGAGGGATCGGTGGATTTTGTGCACTTGCGGTTCCTAGTTGGCTGCGTCACAGACTAGACAGCGCTGCTTAAGCAGGCGTACAAGACCCTCAAACCAGGCGGCTGGGTCGAGACGTTTGACTTCAACGGCTACTTTGAGTCCGACAATGGCACCCTTACTAACAGCATGGCACTCGCCCAATGGGGCATCATCTTCCGCAAGGGTGCCGAGAAGCTGGGCTCCACTGCCTCCTTTACCGTCGTCCGCGACAAGCTGCAGAGAAAGGCTCTTGAGGCGTCAGGCTTTGTCAACATCCAGGAGGAGGCTCTCAAGGTTGGTCTACGTCTCTTTATCTGCTCTGCTCCTCTCTCCTGCCCCTTCCTTAAAACCTGGCCGATGAAGAGTCGAAGCTGACACGACTATCAACCTACAAGATTCCATCCTCCGGCTGGCCCAAGGACCCCAAGCTGCAGGAGGTAGGCCGGTACTCAAGAGCCGCCATTACGAACGACGTTGATGGTTCGGTTGGCCTGTTGGCTGGCCAACTGGGATACTCTGTGGATGATGTCAAGGTATACGCCGCCCACCTGCGTAGGGAGCTGCGTAGCAATAAGGTACACGGGTACTACCGCGGAAGCGTAGTCTGGGCCCAGAAACCGTCTGCGCCCTAAAGTCCATAATAATCAGCCTCATTATACTCCTCCCTCAGGACGGGGAGCCTCTCTTCCCACGCTGAAGTGAACAACAATATGCAGGATTTGTCCTTTTGTCGCAGTTAATGCCAGTCTTGGTAGTACTCTATACACATTCACAATTCTCGGGCTCCTCGGAAGAACCGCAAATACTGAGAGGCAGGGGACTTTGGAGAAGCCTCCGATTTTACTAGTCTAATTATTGTGGGAGCATGTCGATGACAAAAATTGGGGTAGCACATGGAACCTTCACACCCCATGTCAGACGTCTCCAATTTTGCCGTGAGGTGCCCCAGTTTATGGTGCCAGTATATTATCTAGCAATGGCTCTGTTTGGTGGGCTGCTTTTAACAATAGTCAGAGCAGAGCAACCTCTAAGCCCAATCATCCTCTTATGATCTCTGATTTTATAACGCACAATAAGCTCCTTTCTGTCATCAACCAACATGTCCACCGGCCCCCGATTTGACAAGCTGCACGCCGAGATGTTTGAGCTCGGTCTTCAGAACCGCCGCAAGGTGGTCGGCAATGCTTATGTAGACATGGCTCTGCGGAACGGATCAACCGAATTTGCATATCCTAATCAGCAGTTAGTGACCGAGTAAGCACCCCTTGACTACCGACCAATGTCTGGAATTGGAATCGGAACTTGTCCAGCAACACACCCCAACACGCTGTTGACCATGTTGTGACACAGGTGGTGCTGGGGCAATGTCTGGTCCCGCCCCGGCTTGAGCTTCAAGCAGCGGAGTCTTCTTAGTAAGTGGGCACAGACAAGCCACATCGGGAGTCATGAAGATATCCCTGGCAAATGGAACACCGGTCTATTAACTACCATCTCTCGCGCCACAGACATCGGCATGCTGATCGCCCTCAAGAGCTGGCCAGAGCTGGCCATCCACGTTCGTGGCGCTATCAACAACGGTCTTAGCGAGATGGAAATCCGCGAGGCCATCCTCCAGGCGTCGATTTATTGTGGCGTCCCGGCTGGGATCGAAGCTACGAAGACGGCTGCTAGGGTTATCGATGAGATGGTTGCCAACGGCGAGCACAAGAGAGAACTGGCAGAGGTGGCGGCGTTGGCAAAGTAGTCTGTGCACTATACATACATCAGTAGCGAGTTGCAGTCTGTTAGATGATCAACATGAAGAGTCGATAAACCCCAAGACCGATCCTTTTTAGACTTCTTGTTCTTTGGGTTGGAACAGGGCAAAGTACTGGACTTTTCCCTGTGAAGCAAAAACGAATACTAAAACCAAGGCAGGGTAGCAATAAGGCCTAGTGATCGATCGTGGGGGAACCGACTGATCAGCCGGCAGAAGGAGACCATACAAGTGCGGAGCTGGGGTACAACGCGCCGTGAGTTTGGCAAATGCTGCGAGCACGGCGTTCAGTGGCCAGGTTCCGCTATTGGCGACCATATCTGGCGCTGGATGCGGTTGCTCCGCTTTCCTTTCTGGTTTCCCGCCTCCTCTGGCTCATTAGTTTGATTCGTGTTACGGCCTTATGATTCCCCCTTTTGGCACATAATACTCCAGATCCACAGAGTACTCTGGGGACATCTCCAAGTAAAGCTGATGGAGGAAGTGGGGGTGTCGGGGTATTTCTAGATTGGGGGGGAAATCGGGGTAGAAAGAATCACCCAAGGCAGACGGGCATTCGACAATCAGATCATAATTATATATTAAAACGGAGGAGCATGCAGAATGGCGTGAGGCGTCTCAGACATCAGCTGCATAATTCTCTAGCCTCATTTTTTTCCCCAAACAGACGATATAAAATACCCACCCATATGACGATGTCATCTGATGCCCTGCAAACGCTACGAGACCCGTCACTGCTGGTGACGGCCGGCCTGGTCTCCGGCCAGTGGCGGGCGCCAAACGGAATGACATTCCACGTCTACGAGCCGTCATCTGGGACCGTGTTGGGAAACTGTGCAAATCTTGGCCGGCAAGACTTCCTCGATGCCATCGATGGCGCCGAAAGCGGAACCCGAATTTTCCACCAAGGAACGACGGCTAAGGAGCGTGGCGCTATTCTGCGTAAATGGTTTGACCTGGTCACGGCCAACACAGAAGATTGTACGTCATTGTATGAGCGAAGGAGTATAATTACAAAGGATGCTGCAGAACACTCGAAGATCTCTCCCTCTCTCTCCCCCCCTCCCCAAATGTAAAGAGAGAGAAACGGGTGCTAATGCCATCCATCAGTGGCTACTATTCTGTCGCTGGAAAATGGCAAAACATTTGCAGAGGCGAAGGGGGAGGTGATCTATGCGGCATCTTTCATCTCGTGGTTTGCCGAGGAGGCGACTCGCTCCTACGGCGATACCATCCCCTCGTCATACGCCAATGCTACTGTGCTTACATACAAGGAGCCCGTCGGAGTTTGTGGCATCATCACGCCGTGGAACTTTCCAGCAGCCATGATTACTCGCAAGATAGCCCCGGCACTAGCAGCCGGATGCTCCGTGGTCATTAAGCCGCCTAGCGAGACTCCATTTACGGCTCTTGCGCTTGCGAAGCTTGCTTTGGTTGCCGGAGTCCCAGCAGACTGTCTCCATGTGGTGCCGACAAGAGATCGGGCGGCGTCAATGACTCTAGCAACAGACCCCAGGGTGAAGAAGCTGAGCTTTACGGGGTCTACCGGTGTAGGCAAGATCCTAACTCGTGCCGCGGCTGGGACGATGAAACGTGTTAGTATGGAATTGGGAGGCAATGCACCTTTTATAGTGTTTGATGATGCAGACCTCGACGTGGCAGTCGAAGCAGCCATGATCTGCAAATTCCGCTGCTCGGGACAAACCTGCGTGGTAAGCCTCCATACTCGCCCAGTCGCTTTATCTTATCCTCCCATCTGCCTTCGTTTTCTGATGCGCATAGCTGACCCCCTCCTAGTGCGCAAATCGACTACTAGTACATGAGAAGGTCAAGGACGAGTTCGTCTTGCGACTTGTCAAGCAGGTGCGGACACTGAATCTGGGTCGGGGCATCGACGAAGGAGTCACCCAAGGCCCACTTGTCAACGCCGCTGCCGTGAACAAGGTCGACGCCCATGTACGCGACGCGGTCAGTAAAGGGGCCATCTTACACACGGGTGGGAAGAGACCTGAGGGCCTTGATGGATATTTCTACGAGCCCACGGTGATCAGCAACGCCAATGCCCAGATGGAGGTGGCTGTCGACGAGACTTTCGGCCCTCTGGCGGCTATCTTTACCTTCACGAGCGAGGATGAGGCCGTGCGAATGGCAAACGCTACTGAGTACGGACTCTCTGGGTACTTCTTCAGCCAGAACATAGGACGCGTCATGCGAGTCGCCCGGCGACTGGATTGCGGCATGGTTGGCGTCAATACAGGTTTGATCAGTGCCGCCGAGAGCCCCTTTGGCGGAGTCAAGGAAAGCGGCATGGGCCGTGAAGGGAGCAAGTATGGCCTTGCCGAATACCAGAATATCAAGGCCGTCACGATTGGTAATCTGCAGAACTGATGACTTGATGTGGGGTTTGTGTTGAAACCATCTATGTATTTGATCAGCGTCCATATCATTACCACTCCCGTCTTGGAGAGAAATTGATTGTGTTGTTTCTTAAACCCAACATCCCACTTGGTGGTTTAAAGGGAGAATCTCTCTGGGGTCTAGGCTGTTTACTTTGGGGGCCTGTGGTGCTGCCACCTGTTACGCACGGTCCAACAGCCCCCCTTGAGATTTTAGCGCAGGTTCCATACTTGCATGCCCCCAAATTGGAGAAACTTTTCTTGACTCTCGGGGGAATCGGGGGAATTGAACATATAATAAGTGCAAGTAGAAGTAGTTCCAGCCTGATATAGTGAAAAGTATTTCCAATCAACCCTCCCGGATTAACCTGATTTCAAGTCCGGCAATCTTAGAGACGATCCCAGAGAAAAATGGCATATACACAAACCAGAAATCGCCTCCGAGGCAGGACGGTCCTCATCACTGGCGCCTCGAGCGGAATTGGTCGCAGCACTGCTCTCGAGTTTGCCAGAGCATCGCCCGACGAACTACGACTAGTGTTGGTCGCCCGAAGAACGGACAAGCTGAACGAGATTGCGACCGAGATTGCAAAGACCGTGGGACAGGGAGTGCAGGTCTTCTCCTTGACGTTGGATGTCAGCGACCCTGTCGAAGCATGCAGCATAATGGATAAGTTACCGGCCGAGTTTAGGGATATCGACGTGCTGGTGAACAATGCGTGAGTGATTTACAACACTACTCTCAGCAGCTTTGCAACGGTAGACTAACAGCAGGAGAACAGTGGTCTCGCAAAAGGAGCTGCAAAGGCGCCCGAGATTTCCCAAGATGAGATCAACACCATGATGTTGACCAACGTCAACGGCCTAATCAACATCACGCAAGCGATTCTCCCTGTCTTCCTCAAGCGCGAGAATGGCGGGCGAGGAGATATTATCAATGTTGGCAGCGTAGCAGGGCGCGAGCCATACGCATCTGGTAGCGTGTACTGCGCAAGTAAGGCCGCGGTGCGCGCGTTTACGGACTCGATCCGGAGAGAGCTTGTCGCTACGAGGATCCGGGTTATTGAAATTGATCCCGGCCAGGTCGAGACGGAATTCTCACTGGTCCGATTCTCGGGGGACAGCGCCAAGGCTGCCAGTGTATATGTGTGAGTAGTGTCCCTCTTTTATATGTTCCCTCCCCCCCGGGACCCCCCGGCCCAAAGCAAAGTAAACTAAGTACATAACGGCGTCTTCTTGTTCGCTGGCACTGACGAAACCTCAGTGGATGCGAACCCTTAACCCCGGGTGATATTGCGGAGCTTCTGATTTTCGCCGCGAGCAGACGAGAGAATGTAGTCATAGCGGACACTCTGGTGTACCCCAACCACCAGGTAAGGAGCACTCCCTCTCGGCAAATGGCGTCTTGATTACTGAACCGAAAGCAGGGAGGGGCCATCACCATGCACCGGAACCTATGATATGATATGCTATTCAAGACTTGGCAGGATTACATTCGCGAATATATGGCAAGTCAAAGGAACGTCATGGAACCTGCTCGGCTGTGTCCCAAGGTCTCAAAGAGAGCGCGAATATTTTGGCATGGATGGGTATTTATGTAAAAACAAATATCGAAACTGGCCATAGTCTTTCAGGACCGTTGTGGATTCCTATGGCGATCTTCTAGCAGGTCTGCAAAAGCATTCAATGATAGACCTATCAGATCCACCATCTCCCACACACTCTCCGACTTGTACAGCGTGGCCCAAAGTCGGACCACTTCCGAGGATAGGAGTGCTTTCTCCCGCATTATCTTGTCGGGTCCACGTCTGAAGTTGGTTTCCGCAACCAGCTGTGCCACAAAGTTAAGCACCCGCTCTTCGGTCGCGTTCAAGGGAGGACTCGGACTTGGCACAGTGACTGCTTCCAGCCACTTGGCCAGTAGCACCGCACATTCCAACGAGCAGAGGGCGTGCTGGTTGGACCAGTACACCACCTGCGTCTGGGCTACAAAGTTGATCCCAAGCTTCACGGGGATGCTGAGCGCGTGGGCGCAGTGGAGCGCGGCGCGCGTAAGCCTGTAGCTTCGCTGGGCAGGGGGGCTCCCGTCCAGCGATTTAGCAATCAAGCCCGGATCCCAGGTTCCCAGCGAGCGGATCGGCCCCAAATCCATGTTGATCCGGATATATGCCATCCGCAGAAGGGCGGTGGAGGTGAACGATAGCGGTCCGTGGGGGCTAAGCGGGTCCATTGAGGACTCGCGGTTGCACTCCCAGCTCGACGACCAGGCCTTGAGCGCCTGCTCAAACGATTTCATCATCTCTGGCGAGAGCTGCTGGCCCCGCTGGCACGTGAGCCCGGCATTTCGCACTAGCCAGATGCGCTGGATGACGGCATGGATCAAGGTGTATCCGCCTAGAGAAGAGAATCCGGAAGAGGCATTGGGGCGAGACGGCGTGTCTGCGGGGGCGAAGAGCTGCTCCGAGGCAGCCTGAAAATCCTGCGGCGGGCTGGACACGTCGCACGATTCTCTCCAGAGCATCTCGTTGGCGGCTTTCCATTCGTTTTCAGAACTGGGAAGGTCGAGATGGAGCTCGCTCGAGAGCATCATCGCCAGGATGTCAAAGACGATGGAATGGATGTTAAAAAAGCAGAAGACAACCAATTTGATGCGCTTGAGCGACTCGTACTTGATCCAGTCCCGCCAGCTATCCGGTCGGGGTTCACGCCCGCGCTCAAGGTCATCCTCACGCACCAGCGAGTCGAGGACGCTGCGGATGGAGAGGGCTTCGTACACGCCAGGCTGTCGCTTGAACCACGTCGCGATGGCTATCAGAAGCAGTAGCGTCTGCAGAATCTCGACGGTAGCGCACCGACCTTTGGACCAGTTCCCTACCCCGTCTTCTCCCACTACTGCGATTTCGGCGTTGGTGTCGGTGGAGCTTGCAGCTCGCCGACGGCGTATACGTTCCAGGACGATAGCCTTGGCTAGATGGAATAATTCGACTCCCACCTCTGGCTCGCGGGAGTAGCGTGCGCCGACAGCAGCCACGGCTATGAACAACTCGACACTGATCGAGCCCATCCGCAGCGTAGGCACATGCAGAAAAGGGTAATGCTCGTGAAAGGCATTGAAGTATGCAGCGACGAAGCGCGACAGCGCGTGCTTGGACGGTAAGACAAAGCCATCCGGGACGCAGCTGGAGAAACACGAGAGTTCGTGGATGAGGCGGTCCCGGTCTTGGGCCGAGACGACAAGGTGGTCTTGGGTCCCACGGCCTGCACCCCGAGAAGAATTCTGCGGGTCCGGGGGTGTATTTTCCGGCTGCAGAGACGGAAGGCGTGAGCCGTATGTAGAGAGCGCGGAAGCTGACTCCTCCGCAGTATTAGGTGCTTGCATCCGAAGCTCACTGGGCCACCCCGGGTCCGCTTCCGGGTAGCTAACGGCCCAGGGCAAGCCGAGATCGGGGAAGAAGGCCGGCAGCGGTTGATGCGTGGGCGAGAATATGTGATTCGGGAGCGGGACACTGTCCATAAACGAAGTGAAGTCGTCCTGGAAGCTCTCCAGGGCGAAGTCGACACTTTGCAGGGCAAAGCCGTCAGGGACGTCCGGGCCAGCGTCGGGCATTAACACCTCAGACACCCCAGACACCCCAGACGCCCCAGACGCCCCAGACGTCGGCGGCTGCTCACCGGTTGGCGTCAACGTAGTCTCCGAGAACTGTTCCGCCGCCCCCGAAAACGTCGCTGATTGGGGCGACACTGACCCGGACGTTGGCCAGGTTTGTTGCACATGGTTTTCCTGAGGATGGTGGTGTGTTAAGCGCTCGTGCCGGGTAAGCAGATCCCTGTTCCGGAGCCATTAGCCAGAGGACGCTTGGGTGTCTTGGGCTGGGTGACTGAGATATGAGATGCGAGATGAGGAGTTGGACATACTTCCTGGTGAAGGCCTTGTCACATGCAGAACATTGAAATGGCTTTTCTTTGGTATGTGATCGTTCGTGACGTTGAAGATGCTCCAGCCGTGCAAAGTTCCGAGAGCAGAGGTCGCAGCGATGCGCCTTGGTGGCTTTCCCCATGCTGACATCCAGTTTGGTGGGGTTTTGGGGAGATCTGAATCCGGGAGGAGAATGCGGGGAAGCATGTGTTTTATCTCGCTCTGCATTTACCGTCACTAATTACCGTTTGACGGGGTGAAGAACAGCACTATCTATCGCTAGTGTCCACGATCAGAAGGCATCTTGCTTCATTAATCCCATACATGTTTTTAAAGTAGCATTGACCCTTGTATCGTAAAGGTATTTTCGATAGGTAACATATTTATTCGTGAGTCCATTTCGTGTAATACTAATTATCAATACATTTACCCTGTTACACTGCAGCTCCCTTCAGTGTGTAATTCTTGGGCATTTGCCATCTTGGGAAAATCAACCCCGAATTGGGGAACAAGAATAGCGCAGCCATAACCCCGACTAGCACAATGATTGGCCAAAAACCAATGTTGTGCACGGCCTTCTGGCTTTTGGCGTGTTTTCCACTTGGCGGCGCAGCAAGGTTTGCTCCTCCTCGCTCCACGAAATAGCGTCATGTTAGTGGCACCTCATGTCAGGGGTCGGCGGGGGTGGATGGGCCACGAACCTCGGCCTTGACAACTCCAATCTGCAGCGTCGTTAGGATTGCCCTTGCTTCGTCGCTATGGCCAGCATCGTTGAATAGCTCGGTGACGTCTTTGCCGCCCTGGTCGAGAAGAAAGTCCTCTCCCCCTCTTGCCTGTCTCAGCATGAACCCATCACTAGTGACATATCAGGGAGGGAAAGTGGGCTGGACCAGCTTACGGATGTGCATGTTGGAACGTTGTGACATCGTACACCTTGCCGTTGATGACAAGATAGAGGTCATCGGGCCTGGAGTGCTTCTCGATTTGACTCCATTCGTATTCTTGTCGCATTGTGCAGGAATTGGTTGGGAAATGTTCGATCGCTCGGCAGCTCTGGGACACTCATAGATAATTAATAATTAATAATTACTGGTACGGATTACAAGTACAGTCGAAATCCACGAAATCCACGAAGAGGAGGTTCCCATTTAAACAGCTTCAACCCATAATATGTCTCCAAATCTTCATCTCCGCCTGGATTCCCGCCGTCTGACGATCCCCAAATTGGCCCTTCACATCTCCAGTGTTTCTGCAGTCACTAATACCCGCCAAATCTGTTCTGTCTAGCTGAGTGGGGAAGATGTTAGTCTAATTACTGCGTACTTCAGCATTTAGTCAGTCGTCTCCAAATTCTCCACCAACCCCAATCCAGCTCCGGAGTCGGGTATGTATTCGGGTGACCACTCTGGCCAGATATAAACAGACGCAACCAACTGCTAGGTTCTGTCTGATAATTACTTGCTATATAAGTAACAAATCTCTACTTCTCTTACAAAAACCCAACAAGTGTCACCTGACTCCACGTCGAGCCCGATAGTGTTCAACTTCCAGCCCACGCCGTCGGAGCAGATCTCCAACACCAGCTGCCCAACATGCGCGCCCAGGTCCTCGAAGCTTTCAACACCCCATACGTTCTTAAGGATGTACCCAAACCCGCCGCACCGACCGGCCATGACATCTTGGTCCAGGTCCAAGCGGCCTCCTACTGCCACACCGACGCCGTTTTCGCCTCGGGGGCCATGTGGCAGGATCTTCCTCGCGTCGGGTCTCATGAATTCGCCGGCATTATCGTCAGCATGGGACCCAACGTCTCGAAGGATCTAGGCCTTGCAGTGGGCAGAGCTGTCGGAGTCCCTGGCCGCGCATTCCACTCGTGTGGGACGTGCTACGAGTGCCGCAACAACGATGGCGACCCGGAGTCGTATGGCGTGTACTGCGTCAAGGCCGGGAATCTCGGCCTCTCCCGCGACGGTGGCTTCCAGGAGTTCTGCATCGTCGACTCGCGACAGGTCGCGCCCATCCCCGCCGGCATGACGGCCGTTGATACGGCTCCTCTGATGTGTGCAGGCCTGACCATCTGGAATGCCCTCGGCACCGGCCGGGTTGGCCTGCGCAAGGGCGGTGGCGATGGCCTCACTGTGGCCATATCGGGCGCGGGGGGTGGCCTCGGCCACCTCGGGGTGCAGTTCGCCGCCAGGCTCGGCTGCAATGTCGTCGCGATAGATGCTGGTGACGCGGCGCTGAAGCTTCTCCACGAGGTGGTCCAAGGCCTTGGTTCGCTATCTTCCAAGGTCACCATTGTCGACGCCAGAACCCAGAAAGCCGAGGACGTCCGAAGAGCCGTGTCTGGCCAGCCTGAGCCGGGACTGGAGGGCGAGAAAGGGGTGGACGCGCTTCTCGTCCTGCCCGAGGCTCAACAGGCGTTGGAGTACGGCATGAAGTTAATCAAGGATCACGGAATTTGTGTTCTGGTCAGCTTCCCCAAGGAGGGATTCCTGATCCAGCCCCGCGATTTGGTCTTTCGGCACATTCAGATGACAGGCGTACTAGTAGGCAGGAACCACCAGCTGCGCGCCATGCTGAACTTTGCCGCTCAAGAGGGGGTACGGGCGAGAACCAGGACATACTCGCTCGAGCAACTTAACCAGTTAGTAGATGATTATCATGACGGAGCAAGTGGAAAGCTGGTCGTGGATATGACCCAGTGATGTTGATTCCCTGCCATGTTACATAGCTTCGATAGAAATAAAGGCTAGACTGCCTCAGCCATCTTCGAGTTTGTTGCAAGATTATCCACCAAGCTCTCTACAGATGCAGGCAAACGCAAACCTGATCGGGTTACTTTTGATGTTGATTTCCAGAGGCAATTAAAAGGTAGCGCAGCAGTTAGTTATCCGGAACTTCCAGATCAAGAATCAATCACATGTTGGATTTCCCCCGACTCTCCCTCCTAGTCGGGTCAATTGAGTGATTACATACACTACTTGCACAGAAGCTGATACCGTAGTTTCCATCAGTAAGCGACCAAACGAAAAGAAAAGAGAAAGAGACAAAACGTAACAAAAAATAGACCCCGTCTCTACAGTCGGGATACGGAATAACTGAATGCGCAGTCGACCTCATGTCACAGTGATCTGTAGCGTATTCCATATCAAAAAGCAAAAGGAAGTAAGTAGTGATTACTCCAACTATTCCCTCCCATTTCACACCATCAAATACGTGCCATACCCCACTTCAGTACCAGCCGTAATTGCACCACCACAAATTCCGTGCTAGCCATTCGATCTTGAGCTTATCCATCTTCTCTCAGTGCCCATCTTCGTATTGCAGTTTATATCCCATATGCAGGCTTTGTCAAGCCATTACTTCTTCGCGGAATGTTCTCCGTGCCGACAGACCCTTAAACCTTGTGCTCAAGTCCCCAACCGGGAGGGAAAGTGGAAAGTCCACAGACTGAAGCAGCATGGAAGCAAGCAAATACCACCCTGCCAGCGAGAAGATAAACACACACGCACCACCAGCCTGTGGATCTGATGTTAGTCTGCTGATGAAAATGAGATCATCACGGGAGGTGCGAAGCGGATAACAGACCTGCTCCAGCTTCCGACCGGTGGCTGTTCTCGCCTCAGCCACGTACCAGTGAGAAGACGCAAGTAAGAAAACACCTATGGCGAGGAAGACGAAGATGAAAACAAACACAAGGTTGGTTCGCAGCGAACAAATCAAGTACATGAGGCATAACAAACCTAGGAAACACAGAAAGAAGGCAAAGCCAGAGTGGAACTGTGAAGCAGCAGCCGCCGTCGTAAGGGTGGGAACGACGAACTGTTCGGTCACGCCCAGTGCAAGCCAGAATGCGCCTGTGGAGAAGAGAAGGGAGGAAAGAAATGACCTGTCAGCTTGGGCTTTGCCAACTTGGATGAAGAGGGGCTGGGCTCACCAAAGGTAGCGAACACGACGCAGGGAAAGGTGTTGCCCAGAAAGAGCTCCAATACGCTGCCGATGATCTGCAGCGTTCCACCGAAAAAGTAGTACACACCACTAATAAGCAGTCAGGTCAGTACCATGGGCTGGTAATTATGGTATTGCGTAGATTCGGTTCATGTCTTACATCAACGCGTTACCAGCTTCGGCACCCCTCCATCCCATCGCTTCACAACCGAAAGGGGTAGTTGTCAAAAGGAACCCCAATAGAGCGCTGGCTCGCTTTTCATCAGCTCTGTAAGATGCGAAACGTTGTGGGGGAGTGGATCTCACAATGGAGTGGGATTCCCAAATGTGTCACGGAGATGTCCCTTGACAGGCAGTTTGGGGGTGAGGTACATCTTCTCGAACACATCCTTGGGAATCATGATGCTGGCGTTGGTTTCGTATTGGCGCAGCGGAGGAGATTGGCCATCGGAATGAAACACCCCGCTGACTCCATCTGATTTGTCGCCTTCCATAACTGCAGCAAGAGAGAAGGATGTTGAAAAAGATCTGCCCGGAAGGTAATCGTATGTATGCGGCACCTTTTGAGTTCTCTAATTCTTACAGTAGCAAAGGGGTAGGCAGGAAAGGGAGTCAACAGGACATCTTCCGCCCCTTATATGAACAATGAATGCCTCGCCAAGCTTTAAGGAGCTCAAGCACCACCCAACAATTGTTGGAGAAGACGTTAAGATTACTTCGAGTCGCTGCCCCCCCTCCTGGTCGATGGTTCCCCGGATTTTTTACCCCACATTCACAAGACTCTGGGGTAATCAACTTGAAAGCCCAGCGCCCCAGATTTCCCCCAGCTTCGTCCGCTTCAGCTTGAAAGGATTATCTAGTGGGGGACAATGGCACATGCAGGGCATGTAATTAACTATACGGTCTAGACTTTGAGCACCTCCTTCTCTAGTACGGGACAAATGTACTGTACAGGATTACTGTGCATCGGAGGTATGTACGAGGGTTGAACAGTTGATACGACTTCTAACTACCTAGCCAACTAGGATTCCAACTTCCTGGCATCCATCTTTTGACGCATACTACGATATCTCTGCGCAGTCTGCTCCTCTGACACCTGCCTTGGAACCGCCAACCCTCGATGGACCGCCCTTCGGTTGTATATCCCGTCGTGCCACCGCTTCAGGGCCGGAAATTCGTCCAGGTCGATCTCGAGGGCAATCGGACCGTATCGGATCCAGGCGTAGTTGGCTATGTCTGCGATGGTGTATTTCGACCCAGCCAGGAAAGGGGTGGATTCAAGTCTCGAGTTCAGAACCGAATACAAGCGCTTCGTCTCGTTCATGTACCGGTTGATCCCGTACTCCGAGTAGGTGCTAGCCATCATGCGGAAATGATTGGCTTGTCCTGTCGCTGGGTTAGAAACTGCCAGGTATGGTAGAAAATAGTAGGAATATAGGGTCGGGAAGGCGGGTTCGCTAACCCTGCATGGGTCCAACACCACCCATCTGAAACATGAGCCAGCCCAGCTGCTCATAGTACTCGGGCGTTCCCGGTTCGTAGCTGATGCTTCTCTCCGGATCGTACTTGTCCACCAGGTAGAGGAGGATGGAACCGCTCTCGAAAACGCGCTGTCCGCCGTCGGTGATAGCAGGAATGCGACCGTTCGGATTGATCTTGAGGAACCATGGTTCTTTTTGCTCGTTGGTAGAGATGTCAACTTCGACCGCCCTGTACGGGAGGGAAAGCTCCTCGAGGGCTATCGAGATCTTGATGCCATTGGCGGTCAGCCAGGTGTATAGGGTGATGTCGGGAGTCCGAGCCATTCTTTTTGCTGTTACACAGACCTCTGTACCTTGCAAAGGGGGGTTGACTAGGTCTTGATTGGTCTTGGGCATTTTTTGGGTTAAAGTAGTGCGTGGGATATCAACTGGGTTTCGGCATGGATCATCAGAGACATCCCCATCTACCCCAATTTGGAGATAATTATGGGGGATGGGCCGGCTCTGGGCGTGATGGCGTCTCCAGTTCGGAGAAACGCACCTTGCGGGCGGCCGGCAAAAGTGACTGGCAAGTGCGAGATGTTGGAATATTTATTTCTAGGTAAGATATATTTAGCGTTGGTACTCCTTGCACTGGAAAGGTGAAGCATTTGATATTTAGTGTTCATCGCAATCGACTTACAACCTATCCTGCATCCTAAAATTAATTACACCAAGCCGTTCACCGCTCAAACTGCAAGGTCCGAAACCATGAGTGGCTCGAAGATTCGCGTCGCCATCCTCGACGACTACCAAGGCATCGCCCCCGAGAAATTTTCCCGCCTTACATCTCGGATAGACGTGGCTAACTTCCCCGACACGCTCGCACCGGACTCGGAAGAGAGCCTCATCCAGCGCCTCCAGCCGTACCATGTGATTTCCACAATGCGAGAGCGCACCGCTCTTCCCGGAAACGTAATACGGTCGCTCCCCAACCTGAAGCTCATCCTTACCACCGGCATGAAGAACGCAGCCATTGACATATCTGCCTGCACCGATCGCGGCATCATCGTTGCTGGCGCCAAGGGCATCGGCATCGACCAAGGAGCCAAACCGCCTACCTCGCTAGACTCAACCTTGGAGCATACTTGGTCCTTGATCCTAGGCATCGTCCGCAACATCGCCCGTGATGATGCAAGGGTCAAGACGCAACAAGCGTGGCAAACCTCCGCAGCCACTGGCCTGTCCGGGAAAACGTTGGGACTGCTGGGGCTTGGCAAGTTAGGAGCCGACACTGCCCGCGTCGGCGTTCTGGCCTTCGGGATGAAGATTGTCGCCTGGTCAAGCAACCTCACCCAAGAAGCCGCCGATGAAAAGGCTCGCGCCTTCGGTTTCCCCGAAGGGACCTTCCGAGTGGCGGCAAGCAAAGAGGAGCTGCTACAGGCCTCCGACGTGGTTAGCATTCATTATGTCCTCTCGGAACGGACCAGGAACATTTTGGCGGCGAGGGAGCTGGCCCTGATGAAGCCTTCGGCCTTTCTGATCAACACGTCACGCGGCCCGTTGGTCGATGAGGAGGCACTTCTCGATGCGCTTAAGCAGGGCAAGATTAGAGGCGCGGCACTTGATGTGTACAACGTCGAGCCTCTTCCTTCTGACAGCGAGTGGAGGACAACCCCCTGGGGTAAGGATGGGAGGAGCGAGGTTCTGTTGAGCCCCCATATGGGCTATGTCGAGGATGGGGTCATGCAGAGGTGGTATGAGGACACAGTTGCAAATTTGGAGAAATGGCTGGATGGGCAGGAGCTCCAGACCAAGTTGACGTAGTCTTGTTTAGCGACCTCGCCCAACGTCCTCGCTGCTCAAGTTTCTTGGTACCTTAATCTTTCAAAGAAAGTAATCCATTTTGGATGGCAATTATCTCTCTCCCTTTGTTATGGGAACCAGAGTAACGTAATATAGAACTGCTCTCGTTTTGTCTACCTGACTGCCCCGTCGCTTTGCTCACTAACCTAGTTTGGTGCAGTTTGTAGCCCTTTCCAGCCACCTTGATGGCGAAGTCGATGAATTGGAGACGGGCGGCGCCAATTCCAGGACCGGTGATTGGATCCATGCGCAGCGAATTAAGTAGTTGTGGTAATTAGAACCAGAGGAGGCGATAATTACTGCGACTCGATGTGTCAAGGTCGTTCTATTCAAGGTCCTGTCAAGGGCTGACAATGATGTTTCAATTGATGGGAAAGACGAAAATGGTAGGCAAATATTTGCACAGCCTTAAGCATCATTCAAACTTCTCTTGACTTGACCATTTGAAAGAAAAATACAAAGTGCCCATCGGAACTGCCCTAGCCTACAGTATCTTGGTAACGCCTCCATTAGCACAAGTGACACTTCCAGTTACCCAGCGACTTCCTTCAGAGCATAACCATCCAGCAACCTCTGCGATATCGTCGACAGTACCCATCCTCTTTCCGACACTGACTTTGTCGGTTTCTTTGTCGACAAAGTCATCCATCCTCTTACTGGGAGGACGGTTTGCCATCAGATCAGTCATGGTCAGGCCAACGCTTAGCGCATTGACTGTCGTCCTCTCCATTCCAGGTCTGGTGCCCAGTCCGTCTGCCCAGACCCTCGTCATGGACTCCAGGGCTGCCTTACACGCAGAGTACACCAGTCCCCCCGGACGGGACAACCGAGCGGCTTCCGAGGAGATATTCACAATGCGACTGTCGGGGCGAAACAGGGGAATCAGCGCTTGGACAAGAAGGATTGGTGTCTCGAAGTTGCCGGTCAGGGAGCGTGTAATGTGCCCTTGGTCAATCTCGTCCATCGGACGGAGCTCTGCCACTGCTGCATTTTGCACGAGGATGTTGACCACGCCACCAAAATGTTCCTTGAGTCCGGCGACGATGTTATCGCAGCATATCTTCGGCTCCGTCAGTGGAGCAACTACACCAAAGATCTGGGGCGTAGGAGACCCCGGGCTGTTCTCCTTGTAGTGAGCAATCACTTCTTCTTGCAGGCTGGTGATGAGGCCCAGGGAGGCGTCGCTCGCGCAGGTTCCCAGGATATTCGCGCCTCGGCGTGCGAGATGGAAGGCGATAGCCCGTCCAATTCCCCTTGATGCTCCGCTATGCCCATGTTAGTCTTGATCTCGTCTAGTAACTATCATCGGGTATTTGACTGATTTTGGCATACGTGACGACTGCGACTTTACCCGCCAGATCCTGTCCCCGATGTGTTGCATTTGGAAGCGAGGACGTCATTTTGAGCTGCTAGTAATGGTTCCGTGGTGATTGCTTGCTCCTTGTAAATTAGCCAGATTCCGAGACGCCTTAAAAAACCGCCGCAGTCATCTGCAGTTAAGACGGTTGTTATGGGGCTACATGCTGTGTTGAGAGGAACTCGAGCAAAACTACCGTCCGATTCCCCCCGCAGAATATTGGAGAGGGGTTCTTCGGCAATTGCAGACTGGCAGCATCTGCCCTAAAGAATGCCCCACCGGTTTTTCCTTTCGACGCAGCTAACTTTCACTAATTGCAACCCGGATAAACTTACTAGTACTACTAAGATTTATTTTCGATGCTAGTCAGGGCCTTCCCTCAAGGGTTTCCCCGGTTGTCGGCACTCGTCAACACCTACCGAGACTTTGTCATGTTTCGGTGCTTCGGGCGCGAATCTTGCTCCACAAACAGGACGAGCTGACTGAGCTGGAGAATAGGCTTGAACAGATGGACAGAAACGAGACTGCTGGAGACTCTACTTTTTCACGGCACTGTGCTGTCAACCCTCGGGTCCTCTTCCAACGTTTATTTGTAGAGGATCTGTTCCAAGACATTCCAACCAAGACTTCCGAAACAACCAAGTAGACTCTGAGAAGATTTTTACTATGGCTTTCCCTCCCATGCCTTGGAGAGGAAGTCCTCTATCTCAGTGAACTCGAAGTCAGGAAGACGTCGGTTGAATGCATCCGACACATCCCATGCGCCTTTTGCACTACTTACGAGCATGCCAATAAGAACGGTCTTCAGCATTGCCGCGAGCTGATCAGCCTGGTCTTCAGTGAAGCTGGGGTGGCGCTTTCCCAGCGCCCATGAACCCTCGAGATTTCCAGCTTCAAGATCCCGGAGTTGGACCTTATCAATGGTAAACGGACGGCCTGAAATACTATGTGAGTTCTGTACGTTGCAGGGTATCAAGGGAGGCCGATACACACCTCGGACTCTCTCACCAATCTCGAGAATTTGTGAGATGGCGACTCGGTTGCCCCGAATTCCGCCAATTTTGGGCCATTCACCATCGTATTCGACTGCACGAGCGACCATTCCAGCAATATCTCGAACAGCCGTCAGGGTCAGGATGGCGTTCTCATAGCCATCGACGACAATGGCTTTCCGGTTCTCGAAGTCGATAAAAGTGTCTAGAGGAGTCACATATTTGGCGGTCTTGTGGGGAGATGCTAGGTAGTCCATAAAGAGGCCTGGCTGAAACAGAGTGTACTCGAGAACCTGAGAAGTGGGAATCAGAATTTGCGCGACCTCAAGGGGGGGAGTAGAATCGAAAACTCCTCCTACCTTTCCGTTCTCATTCACCTGCTCCAGGTAAGTCTTGATTGCCATCTTTCCTGCCCAGGAAGGCAAGTCATCTTTCTCGGCACTTCGAAGCATTTTTAGATTTTACCATTGCACGACAAATTATCAGGGGCGAATATACCTTCCGAACTCGCTTGGTGCAAAGCGTTTCACGCCGGCGGCAATGGAAGCGTCGATCAGGTTCTTCTGGGTGTTGTTCGGATCTACCACGGGCTGGTTCACAAACGACAATACGGTGTGAATCCCTTGCAGGCCTTCAATCAGGTCGTTCTTGTCGCTATAATTCACGGCGCGCCAAGTGAGTCCGGGCACACAATTGTCCTCCAAGGCCCCCCGAAACCCGTTAGTCTCATATACAAGAAGGGGAAACAACACGACTTGTTGGGCTATTCCGCACATTTCGGGTCAGAATGGTCAACTCATGCTTCTTTGTAGCGATGAGAACATCGATGACCTCTCGGGCAAGTTCTGTGGGCAATTCTCAGCATGTGTTGATCTTGTTGCGCATTGCACCCGCGGTAAGACGTACCTCCCGAACCACCAGCCACTGCAATCTTGACCATTGTGTTTGATTATGGTAGGATTCCGCTCGTCTTAGCCTATCTTTGGAGACCGCGGAGAACTAGGTTGCCGTGTATACCTATCAAGAAGGCAGAAACGAACTGGGAGCCTTAACCCGTATGAGACAGGAGGGACTGAGAGATATACTGGATCACAACGAGGGCGACAGCGTCTTTAATACTTCATATTTTTTGGTATACCAACTCTTTGTTGGGGCATCTGCTCTCAGTTCCGGCATGCGTCGTTCAGCCAATGGGGATTGACTTTCGGTTCCCGAAAGTTGAAGGCGATTGGTGGGACTCATCACCTTTTGGAGCTGTTCAGCAGAGTAATACCGGCCTTTGCACGCAATCACAGCGCGAAATTCAGCACAAATGCGTAAGGTTTATTGCGACCCAGAATTCTCGCAGCCTCCCATCAGGACTTAAAAAGAAAAACAGGCGAGACAAGAGCCAACCCCGGGGGCGGGGGGGGGGGGGGGGGGCGGCGGCGGGGGCGGGGGGGGGGGGGGGGGGGGGGGGGGGGGGGGGGGGGGGGGGGGGGGGG